CCCTTGCAGATATAATTAGTTAAGATGATACTGGTGTAGGGTGGGTTCCAATCCTATATGACCGGTGTCCTGATAAAAGGGGAAATTTGGTGCAGAAACACAGAGAGAACGTCGTGTGATGACTATTGTCAGGATGTATCCATCCAAGAGACCACAAGCAGCTAGGAGAGAGGCCTTGGCAGACCTTCCCCAMTGCTTTCAGAGGGAACATGCCCTGCTGACACCTAGATCTTGGACCTCCGGCCTCCAAACGCTCAGGTTGTGATAGATGATATGGCAGCCTAGGATCTCAGTACACGCATGACTGGGTGGTACAGCACCTTAAGTCATTAACTATTCCAAATCTTCTGTTTCCTCCACTGTAGGTGAGGATAATACCCACCTATCAGGGAGGCTCATACATACCTGTGAATGCTGTAGAGCTTCGGGGGAATATTAGGTAGTAGTATTGTACCTAAGGCCATTGTGTTCCTTCTTCCCATCCTTCTTTTCTTTTTTGTTTAAATATGTATACAATTTTAAAGGTTTATGCTAAATTCTCCCTTCAAAACATATTGCTCAATACTAAAATTGGGAAATTTCTGTCATGGCCAAAGATTTGCTGGCTTTAGAGAGGCTTCTATATGCTCACTACTGAGATTTATTGGTCATGTGTACCAATAAATATTCCAAGAGGAACAAATTATTATGGGGAGGTGGCAGATGGGTGTCATCTTGCAACCCCACTCTGACCATCAGACCCCCTTCCTGGAACGCTGTGTGGAGGATTCTGAATCTGTGTCTAAGGAAGAGTCCATGAGTTCCCGTGCTATTTGCGGTGGGCATAGTCTAGTGTCACTCAGTGATACCTGCCATGGACTAATGTAGCTCATGCTTTTGTGGATGTAGACTTCACATTTCTTTTTAATATTGACCAARTTCTCTGAAATGTGAAAATTTATGACAAAACTCACTTAGCTAAAGAAAGCCAATTAGCTGASATTCATCTAAATCAGGCATATCCTAAAAAATACTTGAGAGTTAAAATAAAAGTAGTTGAATAAATTTAGAGTTGTCTGTGAGGAGAATACAGATAATAATTTTAACAAGAAGCTTTTATTTTCCCCTCATGGCKCTGAGAATGGATCCAGGGCCTCATGCATGCTAGGTGAGCACTCTACCAGGCAGCTACATCGCAGATCTAACAATATGCCTTACTTAGAGCTGGTTGTTGGAGGTTGTGCATCTGACATAGTGAAATGCACTTTACTTGCATGATTTCAGTGAATTCAAGTCATATAAGGCAGGTTATTCCTCAGGATACTAAACTTATTAAAGGTTAGGTGACAGAGAGGCTTTAGGTCTCATAGCTGCATCCTGGCAGAGCTGGGATTCAAACCCAGGTCTGTGTCATATTGCAATATCTTTTCTTAGGCTCATGATGCTAGAATGTGTGTATGTGGGCTTAATTGAGGTGAAATTCACATAACATAATATTAACCTCTTTTTTTTTTGGTACTGGGGATTGAACTCAGGGGCACTCACCCACTGAGCCACACCCCCAGCCCTGTTTTGTATTTTATTTAGAGACAGGATCTCACTGGGTTGCTTAGAGCCTTGCTTTTGCTGAGGCTGGCTTTGAACTTGCCATCTTCCAGTCTCAGCCTCCCATGCTGCTGGGATTACAGGTATGCACCAYGGCTCCTGGCTAATATTAGCCTTTTAAAATGAACAATTCAGTGGCATTTCAACATTCACTATGTTATGCAACTGCCATTTCTGTCCAGTTCCAAAATATTTTCATCATTCCACACAGAAACCCCATACCTACCTAGGCAGTTTCTCTCCATTTCCCGTTCCCCTCTGGTCCCTGATCACCAGCCGATCTTCTTTCTGTCTCTTGAACTTCCCTGTTCTGTATATTTTATATAAATGGAGTAATACAATWGGAGACCTTTCATGTTTGACTCCTTTCATTTAGTACACAGTGTCCTGGTGATTTCAGGTAAAACTTCAGCTCTCTGCTCCAACTAGAGTAACAACTTCTATAATATCCCCCCAGCTCTGCAACTGCAGTCATTGCAAACCATCCTGCAAAACAGTCAGCATGATYTTTATTCCCAAACTGATCAAGTCCTCCTGGCTTGTAATCATTCTGTGGCTTTGTACTACTTATAGGATGTGCTAGGACTCAAACCACACAAGGTCATAAAGGATCTGGTCTCTGTGTCTATGCAGTGTCATGCTCTCCTCCAGGCTGCCTGCCCATCCCAGCAAACTGAACAGGTAGTGCTTCCTTTGACTGCCCCAGGAAGACTCAGGGGACCCTTCCCTCATGCTTTCATATCTGCATGGYGCCTTTTACAGGAGAGGAGAGGAGAGCAAACCATCCTGAAGCTGCTTGTTTGTGTCTCCCCACTCAAACTGTGATGTCCTTGAGAGCAGAGAATGCACCTGTTCTGCTTTGTACCTAGTACCTAGTTCCAGCATGTGGCAGAAGCTCAATAAACATCAGTGTCTTTTGAAGAACTGGAATTCTAGGAGGAAGTGACATCTTGCAACTTACGTACAGCATTTAATGGACCTGGTTAGAAATTGAATGTTAGAACATATGATTTTTGGACAATGACTCCTAACCACAAAYACAAAATTGAAGAAGAGGAGGAGCTTTGCATACCCTGCCCCTCACCACCTTCCCAGAGCAAAAATGAACATAGAACTCCCAGAATCATCATAGGATTTAAAAAAAAATGATTGATAAAAGCTGCAAGATTAGCTGTGGATTCTGTTTTAGTTCTTTGAATACATGGAAATGATGTCCAAACAATCCCCCCACCTCCCACCCCCCACCAATCTCCACGGTCATTCCTTTTTAACAACTCTGCCCACTTCTYTCCAATCCCCCACCTCCCACTTCCCTATTTTCGCCTTCCCCATCACCTTGTTTGGAGAGGGGCCACTTCTGAACTCAGGATTAAGAGAAACAGTTGTTCTCATGGCTCATGGTGTTTTAGGACCATGGTCACTGCCAGGACTCTACAAGATTGGTGTTTCCTTCTACCTTAATCATTGCCAGGCCAAGCCTGCTTTAGGATGGTGTGTAGTGTGATAGGTGGAAATCGAGGCGTGGAGAAGTTGGAGGTCATGACAAAYTCTGCTTCCTTGCTATAGAAGGTCAACAGCACTTCTCATGGGTGCTAATCTTGGCCATATATATTAATAGTTTAAACACTCTTCATACCAACGGATGAAGAAACATACCAAAGAAAAATAATTTAGGATGATAGTAAGCAGACAAAATGACAAGATTGATTTTGAAGGAGTTTTGCCTTTATGTGCTTCCATACAGGAAATTCTCTGTCSAAAGGGCTTTTGGATGTATACTTTTCTGAACATATAACATTGACAAGCTCCTAGGTGAAAAGAAAARGCAAAAATCATATTGCTAAGGAAGGAAGAAAGGAGAAAAACAAGGAAGGAATGGAGGAAAGGGACAGAGGGAAGGAACCTAAACTCTATGATGGATCAGAATGGAACAAAAACACAAAGTGCTCAACTAGACTGAGGCTGCCCGCAGGAGGAGGAGCAGGGCTGGGAGTTTAGCTTCATTTGATAAATGGGACGAGGGGCTCCAAGCAAGGCAGGGTCTGGAGCTGGACTCTGCTCAAGAGTCTGGGGTTGGTCTCCTGGGCTGATAAAAGAGGCTGGAGGAAAAAATAGGGTGGGGGAGGGGTCACATGAGCCCATGTTCTAAGCACCGAGGTTTCTTCCACTTTGTTCTCCATCACCTAGGCCAGTGCTGACCATCATCTGGGACTATGGCTTTGGGCTGCCTTCTGGATAGAAGGATTGATAAGCAACCAGAACTTTTGTTGTCACAGTGATGGGCTTGTCCATATACCTAAGAGAATAGGATTTTAAAAAATGCTATTCTAATACCTGGCTCTGTGCTAGAGCCCCAGAGAGCTGRGCAGACATAACTTTAAAATTATTACACTAGGAGAGTGGACACAGRGGAAGAGAGAGGAGAAGGAAAAAGACCCCTTCTTCCCCAAATGAGCCTGCCAAATGAAGTTTTGAAACACATTGAAGCTTCTAAGAAACTACCAAAAATAACAAGTGAAATATAAATTCATTTGAAATGAAGTTAATTTCATGGAACAGCCCGAAGGAGTGAAATAAGTAACTATTAATTGTAAAGAAGGAAAACAATTTGGGATAAGATATGTAAAAGCTAACACTAATCTTAAGCTTGGGGGAAAGGCACTGTTCAAGATGTGGTTTAAGCATGCATAGATTTCTGTGCTCATAAAAGGACAGAATCCAAAAAGGAAGTCCTCATTCTACAGCGATACACGCATACCCACGTTGATAGCAGTGCAATTCACAAAAGCCATGTTATGAAATCAGCCTAGGTGTCCATCCACAGATGAATGCATAAAGAAAATTGTATATATAAAATCAATGGAGTTTTACTCCGCCATAAAGAAGAACAAAATCATGTCATTTGCTGAAAACAGACGAGAGCATCATGCTGAGTGAGGTAATCCAGATTCAGAAGATCAAGGTTCATATATTTTCTTTCATATGGGGGAGCTAGAGAGAAAAAAGGAAAGACAAGGGACTTCATGAAAATAGAAAAGAGACCAGTAGAAAAAAAGGCAATCAGAGGAGAGAGAAAGGAAGGAAGAAGGAAGATATAGGGAAATGAAGTAGAGCAATTGATACCAGGAGCATGTACAAATATATCACAAAGAATCCCAAGATTATGTATAATCATAATGCACCAATACAATAATTTATAAAAAGAAAGAGGGTAGAACTACTGGCAAATTTATAGTTCAGCATACATGTTAAGCCTGTAGGGCAATCCCCAACACTATAAAAAGCAATATGTAGGGCGCTGAGGCCTGGCCCAGCCCAGCCAGGATAGGGCGTGGGGCCGTGCGTAGGGTGGGGCTGGGTAGTGTGGCCTCATTGTTCCCCAGAGTCTCAGGGACAGGACTCAGGCCTCCGGCACCATGAAGATCTGGACCTCGGAGCTCCTCTTCGACCACCCAGGGGAAACTGTTACAACAGCTGCAATGCAGAAATACCCAAACCCTATGAACCCGAGTGTGGTTGGAGTTGATGTGCTGGACAGGCATACAGATCCCTCTGGAARGCTGCACAGCCACAGACTTCTTAGCACAGAGTGGGGACTGCCTTCCATCATGAAGTCTCTTATTGGTTCAGCAAGCACCAAAACAAATGTGCAAGAACATTCTGTAGTTGATCCTGTAGAGAAAACAATGGAACTTAAATCATTAAAAACTTAATATTTCCTTTACAAATATGGATTCAGGGGATGAGAGACTTATCTACAAACCACATCTTCAAGACCCAGAAAAGACTATTTTGACTCAGGAAGCCATCATCTCTGTGCAAGGAGTCAGCCTTCGCAGTTACCTGGAAGGACTGATGGCCACCACGATATCTTCTAATGCTAGTAAAGGCCGAGAAGCAATGGAATGGGTAATGCATAAATTAAAGGCTGAGATTGAAGAGTTGGCGGCTTCAGCAAGAGGAAACATGAGGACACCCATGGCGGTGGCGGCATTTGTAGAAAAATGATGAAGCATTGGAACTGTACCTGACTTTGGTCCAACCCTAGAGCCAAGCAAGCTGAGCCTCTCCTCATACACACACACTCACCTTGCTAATACAGACTAGCACAGCCTGCATGGGGGAACTGACTCTAAAATGAGAATTTGTGTAGTTTTAAAAGACATTAAATTGTATAAAATAACTTGCTCTGCTAAAAGCCACAGTGTTTTGATTTGGTATTTAAATGATATTTTTGGAGTAAAAATCATCACTAAGTCTAATATATGACTCCAACATAAATAATATTTTATTGTATTATAGAGTACTGTGTTGATTTGCCAAAGTTTTGTAACTTAGTAAAGGTAATACCTTCCTTGGACTTGTACTTTATGATTTAGCATGCTGTACCGTGGGCTGATTATGTTAACTAAAAAAATAAAGTCATTACCTGAGGGAAAAGAAAAAAAAGAAAAACAATGTATAGTTTTTAAACCAACAGAAAGAAAAAAGGTCTGTGGAAAATTTTCATCCTTCCAACAGAAGGCAGAAAGTGAAAAAGGAAAAAAGAATTAGAGGTAATTGGTAGTAAAAGGAGATTTGTACTCCTATGGCTGTGCTTTGGAATGACCAAGCAGTCAGTTTTCCCTGAGATTTCCAGTACCCAAGCAGTGGTGTGCTCTGTAATATCCTCCTGGGCAGAGGCGGGGTGGGGTTGATTTATAGTGTTTACTGATTTCTGTGGTTTAAATATGCCCACCATGACCACCTTCCAGCTACCAATGTGATATCAGCTATTTCACAAAATTCCTGGAAAGGTAACAATGATACCCAGTGAGCTCGTGGCTGCTGGCTCTAACACATCACTGYTTGTTTGTTTGGGATGAACAGACCTTCCTCCATGGTCTTCATACTACCTGTAACTTTTTGGCAATAAAATTAAAATTAAACCAATGCAACAGCAGGGAGATATTACCATGAGAATGATCAAAATCTGAGACACTGACAATACCAGCTGCTGGCCAGGATGTGGAACAGCAGGAGCTCTTACTTATGGCTGGACAGAATGCAAAATGGTTCAGCCACTTAGGAAGATAGTTTGCAGTTTCTTACAAAATTAAATACGCTCTTACCATCCAACCCAGCAATCATACTCCTGGGCATTCCACYCAAAGGATGTGTGTTGGGGAAAAAAATCTACACACAGATGTTTATGAAATCTTTATAATTGCCAAAACTTGGAATCAAGAGACTGTGAATGAATAAGTAAACTGTAATACATCCATGCAATGGAATATTATTTAGCACTCAAAAGAAGAGGAGCTATCAAGCTGCAAAAAGACATGCGAGGACCTCAAATGCACATTGTTGAATGAAGGAAGCCAATGTGAAAAGGCTCCATATAGGATGATTACCATGTCAGAAGATAAAGAAGAAATTAGAGATGGCAGAAAGATCTGCAGTTGTCAGCAGGTGGGGTGGGGGTAGGGATGACTAGGCATAACAGGATTTAGGGCAGTGAAAATATGCAGATGATAACATAGTAGTAGATACATGTCATTATAAATTTTTCCAAACCTATAAAATGGATGACACCAAGAGTGAGCCGGTAAGCTGTGGACTTCAGRTAGTTCTGATTTCTGATCTGACAGTGTAGGTTCACCAATTGTAATCAATGTCCTGCTGGGGGAGGTGATAATGGAGGAGCCTATGCCTGAGCAGGAGCTGGGGGTGGGAGGGGGCTCTCTGTCTCTTCCTCCTAATTTTGCTRTGAACCCAAAACTGCTCTAAAAATTAAAGTCTTTARTAAAATAAAATAAACMCTGCATGTTTCTAACTGAAAAAATAAGGGAATTTATTGGGAAAACAGTCAGTGGCATTGTGTTATTAGAGTATTTATCATAMGATTGTGGAAGGCTAGTAATTTATGATCCTTGCTAGCAAAGCCAGATCAATACAGAGATAAATGTCCTCAGCACAATAGAATTTATATCCTCCACATGATAATTGACYGTCGTGTCATACATTCAATCATTCATCTCATTATCTGATACAACCAGCAGAAAGGCTGATGTGTATGTGATTTATTAAAGCACACCAAGGGAAACCCTCCACCCAGCTTACCTGTTACCTGTCCTTGGCAACATAGCATCCAGTTGTCTACCTCTAGCAGCAGAATCCCATAAAAGAATCAACCTGGTTCCATGCTAGGCATCTCTTGTTGAGTTAGAAGTGATCCCATTCACGCCCAAGCTAGYGACCCACACCCCCTCTTTTTACCCAGCTGTGGATTCTGCCTCCTTTTCTATTTTCMCCAGAACACATGTGACCTGCCCTAGAGCAGATGTAGGTGTGTAAATGTTCTTTTTTTTTTTTAAAATTTATTTCGGTGTTCTCAATTCTATTGCCTATGTGTCTGTTGCTATACCAATAACTGATTATCTTGATTACATTWGCTTTTTAATAAGTTTTGTGCTTTGGAAGCATTAATTATCAAMCTTTTTCTCATGTAGTTTTGTTTAATATTGTAGCTCTCATGAAGAAAGAGTATTGTCAAAGGTTAACTAATTCCTTACTGTGTCATGATGAACTTCTTGAGTACTTCTAATGTTTATTTCTTTTTGAGAAAGCTTTCTGTTCCCATTTTTTCCTATTCCTATTTTAAGACAGCAGAATAGTTGCAATATATTATTTTGGAGATAGAACTGATTTTTGACTTTTTTAAAAATATTTTTTTAGTTGTCCATGGTTTTTTTTTTATCATTTATTTATTTATTTATGTGCAGTGTTGAGGATCAAACCCAGGGCCTCACACATGCCAGGCAAGGGCTCTACTATTGAGCCACAACTCCAGTCCTGGGTAAATGTTCTTAAAAGAGTCTTTAATGTCACTGATTTGCAGCTGTGGGTCTATTCTGTGACATGGAAGTTTCCACATCACCTATCTAAGCACRTCACCGAGTATGTGGCTGGCTTGAAGCTCAGGACACACTACAGTACCAGGGAAGGGAATCAGCATGCTGTAGGGAGAGAGAATGGGGAAATGGGGAAGGAAAGCAGAAAGCTAACCATTCAGAAAACCTAGGCTTAGCACTGGTTCCCTAACACTGCAGTGGAAACTGTTCCAAAGGCCTCCGCCTKCATTCTCAGCCCCTGGGAACATTTGTTGCCTGCAGTGCCTGTGCTTTGCTTTTCAAGGGTTAATCAGATGGCCTATTATTCAGCAAATTAATAGCTTGGCTGCCTGAGAGTTCCTTTCAGAGAGGATTAGGGCCTCTGATGAGGCTTTGATGTAATAGATGRAGCTGTACTGCTCCATCATGCTAATGGAGGAGTTTTAAGGACTCCCCAGACTCTCTTTGGCAGTCTGTGTCTTTATTCATTCCCTTGCCTAAAAAAGAAAAATATTGTATCTTACAAAATTTAGTGCTTGGACAAGGCACTGGATTGACATCCCTGGGGGGTGACGTATTCATTTCTCTGTCTAAAAGCACACACAGAAGCAATACTCACAGGCTTCCTTGGGTGGCCACTTCCTCAGGAAGAGTTCTCCTTCCAAGGGGCAGCAGCAGTACCAATCTGGGCCTTGTAGTTCATTGTCCTTTGAAACTTTCTGACTCAGAAGGGGGATAACGAGTGACAAACACTGTGACAGTTTGTGTCCTCAGGAACATGAACCAAGACAGTCAGTCAGTAGCCGTGTAGGATACAGAGTTGCATAAAACATTCACAACTCCATGTGATCTGATGAGATTTTTTTTCCAGGTTTTTCAGGAGTGGTGAGATTGTTAGGAAAGTCTGGCTTGATTCATTGCCCCAGTTTGATGTTCATACCATCAACAATAGGCATGGAATTGGTGACCCACAGGGGAATGTTGAATCCACTTACATCTGTATCCAAAGAACACACATTGAGGGAAGGACACAAAGTGTGGGTGATAGCGACCCCAGGACACTTGTGAATCCCCTATCCCCACCATGGATTCCAGCTTGAAATTCTTGCTGGAACCATTATCAGCATCATTTAGGAGGCAAACTGACTGCCCTGTTGTTTCCACACCCACTTGGGATGCTCAGTCCTCTCCCCCTCCCCCAGCTCCCACAGTAGGAATAAAATTGCTCCTTCCTCTGGGCTGCTCTCAATTCAAGGAATAAACTTTCCCTGTAATCTTCTTCTTGGACTTTGTATGATCAGCAMGTGTGCCTTGGCACCTGCCTTTCCTTCACTTGATGGTTGCCAGCGTGAGTGTTGCTTTCCACGCTATTAGGAATCAAGGGGCCTGAGCCTGAAAAGTTCACCASGTCTCTTGTAGGGTTAGCCCTGGATTAAGATCAGAGGTCTGTGCCTCTTTGTATTGGCCACCCAGGATGAATTTTTTGCTAGATGATTCTTTGGTATTAGGCATTAGTTAGGATTGAAGAGCACTCTAAGAAACAGCCCTATGAAAGGGACCAGGGGGAGGGAGGAGGAAAAGGAAAGGGGGAATACTGCAAAATGATATTGACCAAATTACACTGTTATATTGTGTGCATGTATGAATATGTAGCAACAAATCCCATCATCATGTACAACGACAATGCACCAATTTTAAAGGAGGAAAAAAAAAATAGCTCTCTGACTGGAGATGTGGCTCCGTGGTTAGAGTGTTTGCCTAGAATGCGTGATGACCTGGGTTCAATCCCCAGCACTGCTGGAAAGAAAGAAAAAAAGAAAGAAAGGAAGGAAGAAAGAAAAAAAATACTCTATGGAACTCATGGCCATGTTTACTAGAGAGAAACAGTATCCATTACATTACTTGCAGTCCTTTCTGTGAAAACCCAGRAGAGCTTATCTTTAGTCTCATTATCAATTATCACTGTTCTCTAAGCAGCTAGTCTGTTTGTCTAGAATGGATTTTAAGAAATAAAGACAGACATTTTTCCTTCCACATTGTTTGCTTAGAAGACTAGAGCCAAATTTGTGGACCTCTCTGACAAAGTCATTTATTTAGCATTCCAAATTCTATTTTTCTTCCCAAATTTACCCTTTG